GAAAGTCTGACTTGGCCACGGTAGTACACGCTCTGGTTACACATCCCGCTTGACTACTGCAACGCTCTCTACGTGGGGCTGCCCTTGAAGACGGCCCGGAAGCTTCCGCTAGTCCAGCGCGCGGCAGCCATGTTACTAACAGGAGCGGGACGCAGGGAGCATACAACGCCCTTGTTGTTCCAGCTCCACTGGCTGCCGATCTGCTACCGGGCCCAATTTAAGGTGCTGGTGTTGGCCTACAAAGCCCTAAACAGTTCCGGCCCAAAATACCTGTCTGACCGCATCTCGGCCTATGAGCCCACGAGGACTTTGAGATTGTCCGGGGAGGCCCTTCTCTCGATCCCGCCTGCCTCACAGGCACGCCTGGCGGGGACGAGAGACAGGGCCTTCTCGGTGGTGGCCCCCCGGCTGTGGAACACCCTTCCTGTGGACATCAGACTGGCACCCTCCCTTATGACATTCCGCAAGAGACTAAAGACGTGGTTGTTTGAGAAGGCGTTTGAGTAAGTGCTGCAACAATTGGCAATGACGATTGGAACGGAACATGGATAACGAGATTTGGATTGTGGTTCAACGATGAGACGTCGCGAATGACTTATTGTAATTGTATTATTGATATTGATGTTGTTTAATGTTGTTTTTGATATTGCTAGTTGATGTTGGCTTATGTTGTAAATTGCACCTGATTTTACATGTTGTACACCGCCGTGAGTCGCCCCAGGGCTGAGAACGGCGGTCTATAAGCGCAGTAAATAAATAAATAATAATAAATGATCCAAGAACACTGGGACACTGGACTTTTCACCCATATCTGTGGCAGGCATCCTCAGAGGTTGTGAGTTTCTTGGAAATTAGGCAAGTGAGGTTTATATATCTGTGGAATGTCCAGGGTGGGAGAAAGAATTCTTGTTGGTTTGAGGCAAGTATGAATGTTGCACTTGGCGACTTTGATTAGCATTTAATGGCCTTGCAGCTTCAAAACCTGTCTGGTTGCTGCCTGGGGGATCCTTTGTTGTGAGGTGTTAGCTGGCCCTGATAGATTCTTGTCTGGAATTCTCCTGTTGTTTTTTTTTAGTGTTGCTATTTATTTATTTATTTATTTATTTAAGATATTTCTACCCCACTTTTCTCCACAAGCTGCCCCAAGGCGGCTTCCAACATGCAAACCATACAATACAAAATTAAAACATAATTATCAAAGTTAAAATCATCTCTGCAGTATAACCCAGTCCCACCTCAGTAGTGTAAAACCCCTTGGAAATGCAAATGTTAGACCTTAAAACTCAACCTAGCCCCAAAAACATATGGTTCCATCTTTAATTAAAAGCCTTCTTAACTAGGAAGGTATTTACACACTTCCGGAAACACAACAGGGATGGGGCCAATCTTAGTTTTTCTGGAAGGAAGTTCCAAAGTGCTGGTGCCAATCCTGAGAAGAAACCTTCCCTGGTCCTACTTAAACACATGTTGGAGAGGGCCCAAGTGGAGTTAAGGGTCTCCTTGCAGGATCTCAGTACTTGCAGGATATTCAGTACGGTATGTTTAAGGGGACACGGTGTTCCAGGTAGCCTGGACCGAAGCCGTATAGCGCTTTATAGGTAAGAACCAGCACTTTGAATTGGGCTCAGAAACATATAGGCAGGCAGCCAGTAGAGCTGTTTGAGAAGTGGAGTATCATAGAATCATAGAATCAAAGAGTTGGAAGAGACCTCATGGGCCATCCAGTCCAACCCCCTGCCAAGAAGCAGGAATATTGCATTCAAATCACCCCTGACAGATGGCCATCCAACCTCTGTTTAAAAGCTTCCAAAGAAGCAGCCTCCACCACACTCCGGAGCAGAGAGTTCCACTGCTGAATGGCTCTCACAGTCAGGAAGTTCTTCCTTATGTTCAGATGGAATCTCCTTTCTTGTAGTTTGAAGCCATTGTTTCGCGTCCTAGTCTCCAAGGAAGCAGAAAACAAGCTTGCTCCCCCTCCCTGTGGCTTCCTCTCACATATTTATACATGGCTATCATATCTCCTCTCAGCCTTCTCTTCTTCAGGCTAAACATGCCCAGCTCCTTAGCCGCTCTTCATAGGGCTTGTTCTCCAGACCCTTGAGTAGTATGCTCCCTGATGCTCTGGTGATCTACCGGTAATGGAATAGGCTCAGAGATTCTCTCTGAGTCAGCAAGGAGGGCAGAATTTGACCCTCCAAATGTCAGATTGAGTCTGTCCCCTCTGGTGGCAACTTGCCAGGACCATGGGATGCCGTAGATGGCAAACAGTGATGTAGAGGTGCCTCACAGCCCCACCACCATCGGCACCATCTTTCTTTTCTTTAGGAGTAAAACACCATTGCAATTGTACATAGCAATGGATCAGCAGTTAGGTAGGAGCCCCTGGTGGTGCAATGGGTTAAACCCTTGCGCCGACAGGACTGAAGATCAACAGGTTGCAGATCAACAGGTTTGAATCTGGGGAGAGTACGGATGAGCTTCCTCTGTCAGCTCCGGCTCCTCATGCGGGGACATGAGATAAGCCTCCTACAAGGGTGGTAAAACATCAAAACATCCGGGCATCCCCTAGGCAACGTCCTTCCAGATGGCCAATTCTCTCACACCAGAAGTGACTTGCAGTTTCTCAAGTCACTCCTGAAACACACATACACAAAAGTAATTAGGAACCTATTTCAGAACTGGCAAGAATATTTCCCTGTAGCCAGGTCAATTTATAAAACTCACTATATTGTCTACTGTTTCAAATGAATGGAGCAATCTTGTGCTTGCTGAGTCAGAATTCCTATTGCATTCAATGGTGCTTACTAACAGGAAGGTGGCTGTGGGATTGCAGCTGAAGCAGAGTCTCTGCAGAGGCAGTCTTGGCACAGGAATCTAATCTGAAGTTTAGTGTTGATTGGTTTTTTTATTTTGAGAAAATGAAAGGTGGAAAAATGATGGTGGAAAGCTCCCATCATCCATCCAAAACAGAATAGATTATACTTTTCCAGAGCAGCAGATCACTCACTGCTGGCATGAGGAGGGGGAAAAAGAAAATGTGAGCAGCAACGATGAAAGGAGGAGGACAAAGCATACTTATCCAATCTGATCCTCTATATTCTATGCTTATTCTCACACATTTTGATTTCAGGTTGGAGCCTGTAGAGAGCCACTTCAGCATAACTCGCACGTACTTGTAAGGCTTAAAAATCTGCAGTGAAGTTGCAAGCCTGTCAGGGTTACTCAGGAGGGACGTTTGGAGTGCATACCACTTGAGAATGCCTACGCTTGTCAGTTTTATAACTCAAAAAGTAAATTGTTTGTAAGGAGAAGTAAATGAAAAAAAGCTGTTGAGCCAGTCTTGCAGCTGGAATATTTTGCTCCCTTTATAGAGACTGGAAAATAAAATAAAATTGGACCACAAAACATCATGGAAAGGATGCAGAAGGCTGCAAATTTAAATGAACCAGAAAGGGCACCATAATCAAATAGTAAATGAATAAAGTTGTTCCTTATTCCTAAATAGTCTCTTATTTGGGTCTCCGTTATCCATGCTGTAGAATTGGATAAGTCAGGCAAGACACAATAACTTGGCACAATAAGACATCACTTTTAAATATTGCTATCAAAAAGGAAGTTCCACAAATCATGGTTGTCAGTAAACATGTTTAGAGTTCTTATTGATTAATCCTCAGAAGAATTTACCCACTTCTACTATCATTTTAAAGAGCACATAATCAATGCACTCCCAACAGATGGCCATCTAGATTCTGTCTAAAAACAATTATAGAACGAGCTTCCACCACACTCCAAGGTAGCATATTTCTCTTTTAAACAGCTCTTAGCATCGGGAAGTTCTTCCTTAATATTATTTATTTATTCATTCATTTTCATTCCGCTTTTCTCCCATGGATGGGATTCATGGTTAAAAGTGGCAAAATTACATAATATAAAACTCAACAAAACCAAATAAACAGATTACATACTACATAAACCATATGTAACAAATTAATAAATTAAGACATTATATGATTAAAAATTCCCAGACCCTCAGGCCACTGAGGTTGTCCATTAGAAAAATTACACTGGGATCCTAAAAACTCCATTTTCTTTCAGCCGTGTAAAAGCATTGCCAGGTTCAAAATGGCATTCCAAAATGTAACTGTTTGACAATTGCCTATTATTGCTCTTCAGGAAAGGCTGGTTCCACAAAATAGTTTGAATTTGTGAACAAAAGGCCAGCAAGGAAGGGGCTGTTCGCACCTCTTTAGGAAGGGAGTTCCAGAGCTGCAGGGCCACCACCAAAAAGGCCCCCCCCCCTCATTCCCACCAACAGTGCTTGTGTTGGTGGTGGGACCGAGAGAAGGGCCTCTCCTGATGATCTCAGGGCTCATGTGTGGTGCCGTCCCTCAAGTAGGCTGGGCCCAAACCATTCAGAGCTTTATAGGCTAAAGCCAGCACCTTGAATTGCACCCAGAAACAAACAAATATTTAGGTGGAATCTCTTTTACCAGAGTTTGAGTCTGTGTTTTCATCTCTAGACAAGATTTTAACTCCTCTGACAAGCCTGAGTTCATTCTGCATTCATTGCTTTTCTGTGTTTCTCTCTGCAGTGCTGGTTGTTGGTTTAAATTCCTCATTGGTGATTTCCCCCCTTTTTCATTTCTTGAACATTTACCTTTAAACTCAGTTATTTAATCATCTCTCCTAGTTTCTTTATGTCTCGCCTTCATTAGAACTGTTTGAAATTATTTCTTCAGTAACCATCAGTTGTTACACCTAAATTAGGCCATCTTGTACATCTTGTACAGTGTTCTCTATATACTTACAGGAATAAGTGATGTGGATGTTAGTGAAAGGTTTTAGAACTAAAAAGGGCAGAGAGCACTACAGATCAAAGTACTTAATGAATTGTCTATTAAATTCACTTGGAATGTAAATGCATTTTGTCAGTAAAAGTAAATGCTAGGCATACAGCTTTTGCTTGTACTAACATATTTTCATTGTTTTTATTCTTTTAGGGATTATGTAAAGAGTGAACTGGAGTCTGGATATGAAGGGCCAATGTATCTAGAACCGCTTTCCATGAATCGTTTCATGACAGCCTTAATTGGTGAGTGCATGCACATGCCATTGTCTTCTAAGGTGCTCCAGTTTTGTAGGGTTTACTATATATACCCATCAATAAAATACATTGTGCACCACCCAAAGTATTCTTGGAGCAACTTGAAAATATTTGCTGTATGAATTGCAGCTTTACTTTACCATTATTGACTTTAGAAAGCAACTTAAGTGGAGTGGATTTTGTACAGTTTTATCAGCCAGAATGGAATACTTGCTCTTTTGCTTCCCTTGTTTGGGGGCGGTTTGTTCTGCCTTCTTTGCTAGCATTCTCTTTGTTCACTCCTGTTTTCTACTTGTGCCATGCAGTAATATGAGTTCTGTGGATGAAATAGTCTTTAAGTAATTTAAAGATCCTAGGTTGAATCATTTTGTATGCTGCTTCACACATTGGTCAAGTTAAATTGTTATTTCAAGCTATAAAATACCTAATAAACAATTACTTTGTATCTCAGAAATAAAATTATCATAATAATGTCATAGAAAATTAATGAACCAATTTCAGAGACTTTGATTCTGGGCCTCAGATATTATTTGAAGGCACTTTGTTCCATGGTAGTCTTTGGGCATTGGTTGGTTGTTGACTACTTAAAATTCTTGGAGCCTTCTATAAGAAATAATGATTGCTACAGCATGTGACATGTTCAATCTTTTTGTCTTGATTTTAAGAAAGGAGGTGGAGATTTTGACATCTGGTTTCAGGGAGACAGGTTCTAATGCAGCAGTGAGATGCTGCACTGTTTTCCTTTCTAAGTTGATTTCACAACATGCATACCTTCTGTCATTCTGGGAATTAGAAAAAATACGGATCTTTGAAACATTTATTTGCATTCTGCTCACAAATTACATAATTTCCATTTTGCACTTATCATGCAAAGGATGCTTTTTTGTTAGGGAAGCATCTTGTTTACCTTGCATTTGAAAAACAAACTAAATGCTTTTTGTTTTTATCCTCCCACTGCTGCTATTTCTGTAACTGTTTCCCAATTTGGCTGACCTAGACTGAGACTCCTATCTGGGGAAAAAACAACTACAAAATTAATTCAGTTACCGTATCTCTTTGATTCTAAGCTGCCGTTGATTGTAAGATGCACACTAATTTCAGTCCTACTAACAGAAAAAAAGATATATACATATATATGTTAAAGCAACTGTGATTCTGAGACATTTCTCATTTTTAGAAATGTTTATATTAGGAAGGGTGGGGGAGTCTATCTTCAAATCAAAGAAATTTATATACTTATAATTTTGTAAATGACTATCTGCACCCCACTGTTTATGTGCTGAAGTCCCATCTGTCCTTTGCATGAGAACATCGGTTATCAAGCAGTTTTTACATGGATTTCCCTCCTTTTTTGTTATAATGTAGTTTTTCAAGCACTTTTCCGAAACTGCTTCTTGATTGCGGTTTGTCCCACTACTTTCCAACACAGGCATAAATTGCAATTGTAGACTTGGGAAGAGACTGTGAAATACTCCATTTTCTGGGGCTTCAAACAGAAAATCTCATTAAATAAGTTTATAGTGCAGGTTAAACTTCCCTTATCTGAAATGTTTGAGTTTTGAAAGTTTTTGTATTTCTTATTTTAGCATATCTATAGTGAATGAGGGGAAAGCGGGATATTCACACATCCCACTGAGCTTTAACTCAAGGAGCCCTAACAAGGAAAAGAGAAGAGGGGAAAAAAGGAGGGAAAGGCTTCACTTCCCTATAAAAAGCAGATGTCCCAGATGTTTCCCTGGCTGTCAGCCTACTTTCCACCCTTTTAGCAAATTAGGAAAGGGAAGGGAGGGGAAAATCCTCTCCCCCTCTCCCATACCGTGTTAAGTCTTTTCATTATCTCTGGGCTGAATCCAGGAGGTGCAAATGGGGTCCCTCTGCACTTGCCCTTGGGATGCTTTTGCACTTTCCCTTGTGTTGGCGGACATGGGCTGCTTAACATGAGAAAAAGTATTCACCCTTTCTATCCAACTTATACAAATGAAGAAATTGTTTCAAAAGTAATCCTGTTATGAAATTGGGATGTTTATAACTCATAGAGATTTCTAAGCGGAAGATGTCATCTTGTTGATTTCTGGTAGATGAGTCTCCCCTATCATGATATCTGAAATTCTAAAATCTTCCAAATTTGGGTGATTAAGTTAGAGGCACCTTTGCTTTGTGGTGGTTCAATGTAGCCAAACTTCGTCTATGCACAAAATTTTTCAAAGTTCAAAGTTTTTTTGTGTTTAAATACCTTCCGTGTGCAAGCTGTATATTACACTGGGAAACACAATTTTCAGTGAACTAGATCTGACACTTGTTTTTGAGTAACTTTTGGCCTTTGAATCCAAAAAATGACCTCAGTTTTTTCTATCACATCACCTTTTAAGGGTACAGGATATCCCCCCCCCCTTGTCCCAAAAATCATAAAAAATGTACACACAAAGAAAATAAGATAAGCTGTAGAGAATTTGAATAGTTCCAAATCTCGTGCCAAATCATTCAAGTCACGCTGACAAATCCCTTATGAACTGAGTCATCTGCAGTTTCAAAACCTTCTTTGTTTCTGTCACTTAGTTCTTCACCCATATACCTGCTTTTCCAAAGAGTTCAATGAAAACTGGCAGTTGGAATTCAACTGAATGAAGTCCTGGATGTTTAGCTGATGGTAGACTAGGATACTCTATTTGACATTTGTTTTTCTTGTTATTATCCTGGCGTATTAACTGTACAAAAGTAACAATCACTTGAATGATCTCAGCTCTTACCAAGCAATAGGTATACCAAAAGGCAATGTATCTTGTGTTCACTTCATCCACATCTCTCAACACACTGCTTGCACACCTTGTGAGGGGCCCAAGACTTACCTTGATCACAAAGTTTTCTTGACTGGGAATGGTGAAATTGCCACAGATATAATAAAATGAATTAGGGTTGTTTTGGCACTTATGGAAAGAAATAGCAGAGATAGACACAATCTTAAGGAGAGAAAAAAATACATAAGAAAATAAAAAAAAATTAATTCTGCTAACTCCTTGTATACAAACAAGAACTTGGACCACACTTCGGGATACGATTCACTATACAGAACAGCACACAACCTCTCACCACACTGTCTCATGTGTAACTGAATAGCTTAGACAAGTACAAACCGTTCATTGGTCTCCAAGGTTGTCCCCCAACCCTCCCCACATATTGTTTTCAGCCAATAGAAGGAGAGCACCAGTGTTTCCCTCGATCCAGATCCAGCCTAGAGTGGTCATATTAAGATAACCTTGACACGATAGAAGGAAAAAAACTTAACACGATAGAAGGAAACTAACTGCAATTTTGAAATCAGCATGCCCATTTAAGTCTAGAACAGCTAAAAAATCAAACTCAACAGGAATTAGGTTAAAATTCTTCCCCAATGAAACATAAATGAAATTTGTGTTTCGACTTTGGTCCCATCTTCAAGATATCCCACTATGTCTATGGGGGGCCGGGGGTCAAATCTCCAGAGCTTGACAAATATGTAGATCTTGAGAAGCAGGATGTGGATATAAACTGTGGCCAGTGTTGTTTTCCTTGTGGTGATAACCTCAGCAGTAGAGCAACTTGAAAATGTGACTTCTTTCCATCTATTTGTGGCATCTAATTATATGTTGAACTTTGAAAGGACAGCCATAGCCTGTGAAACTTGTTATTATGGTAGCAGTGCTATGAGTGCAGTGGAAGCCAAGTACTTTAAAAAATAAACTCATACTAGTGTTTATACATGTATACACACTCAGTGTTAGCAGAATATTTTTGCGCTCTTTTGGTGTAACCTATGCAGATATGAAAATTATAGCAACATTACAAAATGGTAGGATTATATCCCTCCACTGTTCTTTCCTGGCTAATTTCTTCTCACTAACCATAGAATATTTTTACTATAACAGTACAGGGCAAGAAAATCTTATCTATACCAGGCTGCATAATTAGAGAATGGTGATTCTTGGGCATACCATGGACATAAACATATCACTCAAATCCAAGACAGGCCTTTCTGCACCTACTGGGTGAACAGGGAGGTGGCATTCATTAGTTATGATAATATACTCCTGAAGAGGGTTAAAACTTCAGTGTTCAATTAAAAATTATATTTAACTATGGTGCTACCCTAGTCCTTGTAATTTTATGAAATATTTTATATCCCCATAAAAGAATTTGTTTGCTACATACTTGTAATTTCTGTTTTCATTCTTCTTGCTTCCCATATGACAAAAACTGCAATCTAAACACACTCAAGTGGCTTAGTGGGCAGTAGTTTAGTGTAAAGGATATTGATAGTTTTACTTATTCAAAATTAGGGCTTTTATATTTTTAAACTTCATGAATGTGTCAAGTTGTTCAATTTTATTTGTAAAGTGTCCCCATGTTGCTAAAATGTTAATAAAATGTCTGGGTTTGATACAAAAATGGGTTTTAGACATGGATTTTCCACCAAAGCGTCAACATTTCCAGAAATTGTGCCACATCAAGCTCTGAAAATTTTGAGTAAATGTACATGTGATTGCAGTGTTAGTTGGATATGTGGCGCAAGGCCTATAAAGTGTTCCTGCGTAGAGCACTCAGGCACATCTTGTGCTCCTTCACACTCCTCGAGAACAGCTCTGAAAAACACACACACCCATTTGGTTTTCTGATCTTTTTTTTAGGGATGGTTTCAGACCAGATTTGCCCTCAGATCTTTTAAACCTGCTTACAAATGCAGTGATCCCCTAAACCATTTTCCAACTCCCACAAATAAGCCTATCAGAAATGATGTGACATCACTTTCAGTTCTCTGCCAATGCACAGGTGCATCCCATTGGAGGTGATGCACGGGGATGGAAATTGGGTCCTGCCCAATCTTACAGCCTAGGTGTAAGGCAGCCCTTTGAATCATTGACCAGGCATCTGTTTTGTTATGCATTCACTGCGTATTGATATAGTATAGAGGCAGCTTTACAAAACTCTGGAGAAAATTGATAAATTTAACCCAATACAGATTAAGCATCCTTTGCCTGGAATCCAAAAATCCAAAATACTCGAAAATTGTCCACATAGAAGGAATAGATAGTTTCACCTTCACTTTCTGATGGTTCAGCATACATAAACTGCATTTCACCCCATTATTAAAAATATTGTTTGTAAAATTAAGTTCAGGCTATATGTGTAAGGTGTATATGAAACATAAATGAATTTAACGTTTAGATTTGTGTTCTATCTCCAAAATTTCTCATTATGTGCAAGTATCCCAGAATCCAAAAAAAAAAAAAATCAAAATATGGAACACTTGTGATCCCAAGCATTTTGGACAAGGGATATTCAACCCATAATTCCTTCCTAGAGAATGTGTTCTCTTATATTTTCAGATTTTTTTAAAAAAAATTGATATACTAGTTTTGAACTGTTCAAAAAGTAATAAAACTTTGCTGATTGCAACTATCAATGCTGGCAAAGGGTAACACTTTAAGAGGTAATGTGTAGTTTACAGTGTACTGTAAATATGATACTGTTCATGGAATATTCAAGGAGAGGGGAGAGTCACATTATGATTATGTTTTCATTTGTGTCATTTGTAGGTCAGCTTGTGGTGTGCACCCTTTGCTCCTGTGTCATGAAAACCAAACAGATCTGGCTCTTCTCTGCTCACATGCTCCCTCTTCTGGCACGACTCTGCCTGGTCCCTCTGGAAACAATCGTGATCATCAACAAATTTGCGATGATTTTCACTGGCTTGGAAGTTCTTTATTTTCTGGCGTCTAATCTTCTGGTACCGTACAATCTGGCAAAGTCTGCATACAGAGAACTTGTCCAGGTAGAGTATGCTGAAAATATTGACTGAATTTCTACATTGGTCTTGACTTATTTTCCATAACTTAAGCTGATAGGACAAGGAGGAATAACATATATTTAAATGTTTGTGGTTTGGATAGAAGACATTTGTAAATCTAGGGCACTTCATTAATGACTGAACAAGAGTATGTGTTATCTACAACATTGTAGGTGTATGTTGGTAAGAAGATTTCCCAGATACATTTTCTGAAATGAGATTGGAAAGTTTAGGAAAAAATGAGAAGGTAACATTGAGAAACGTATGTTTTCTTGAGCTGAACAATGAAAGGGAAGAGGAAAAAGATCGTCATCACTAATTTCAGTATCCTGAGGAAAACAGAATCCTTATGCCTTTCAATTGGTTAATAAGGCAGTGAGTCAGGGCAGGTGAAAATGCATAGCTTCTTGTCAGGGATGTTTGCCAAGAGCTCCTTCGGAACCTGCTGCAATAGTTTGGTAAACTGGTTTAAAGACACCACATGTCCTCCAAACTCTCTGTGTGTATCATTCAATGTTGTGAGATTTCTTAGTCACTGATTCTGATTAAACTTGGAAAAAGCTATTCTAATATTTCAGTCAACATTTTACTAACTATAAGTCAACTTAAGCTTGATTTCTAAGAACAGTTTTCACATAACGTAATTCCATAACACAGTTTTTGATGACTTGCAACTGAATATGTATGTTCTAATCTTCTATACGTGTAGTATATGGTTATTGTTTAGTTCCTTGGAGTGATGTATACAAGCATGAGCCAGATCCATAATAGCTAATTTTGATCGCTGTGAAGAGTCCACAGAATGGTAGATTTTGGTTGATAGAACACCAATATTTTTAACATTTAACTCAGAATTTTGGGTATATTTGACCTCCTGATTCCAAAAATGGCATCGGTTTCCCCTCTATCTGCTCAAGTTTTTATGATACAGAATATATGCTGTCTACCAGGTATCATCTGCTCACCCATAAAAAAAATCCATGATAACCATATCGAAGGAACAAGAGAAGAGCTGATGAGGTCCATTTTCTGAATCAGCATCCTAAATAAACCCAATAACAGGCCTAAAACTAGGATCCCCTGATGGCGCAGTGGGTTAAACCTTTGTGCTGGCAGGACTGAAGAGCGACAGGTCACAGGTTCGAATCTGGGGAGAGTGTGGATGAGCTCCCTCTATCAGCTCCAGCTCCCCATGCGGAGACACAAGAGAAGCCTCCCACAAGGATGGTAAAACATCAAAAACATCCGGGTGTCCCCTGGGCAATGTCCTTGCAGTTTCTCAAGTCACTCCTGACATGAAAAAAAGGCCTAAAATTCAAGACTTCAAGCTTGGGGGCGGGGGGGGGGGGCTGTGTAATCTTTGTGTAAGTTCCATGTCCCTGCCTTTGTCCCACAATCCTCAGAGCTGCATATGATGGGAACATGAGGAGACCTTCTTAGTTGACGACCTTCTTTGGCCCTTCCACTCAGCCATATAACCCACAATATCTACTTTGAACTGGGTTATCTGAGTCTACACTGCCATATATCCCAGTTCAAAGCAGATAATGTGGGATTTTATTCGGTTGTGTGGAAGGGGCCCTAGAGAGGCTAGACTGATTTATTTTCACAGACAGGTGAAGCCTTTTTTGGCAAACCTTTAAAGCAGTGGTTCTTAACCTGTGAGTCCCCAGATGTTTTGACCTTCAACTCCCAGAAATCCTAACAGCTAGTAAACACCCAGGAACTCACAGGTTGGTAACTACTGCTTTAAAGGCTGATTACTTAAGGAGAACATACAGCATTGTTTATTCATTGGGTTTTTTTTAAATTACTTTGCTTTTTCTGGTTTAAATTTTATTGATTGTTTAATTACATTTTTTATTTTGAACGAGGTGAAGTTTTAGCTATGTTTGTTTAATGGTTGTAGGCATTGAAGTGAACACAACTAGAATTCGAAGTGAGAAAATCACTGTCAAGTTAGCTTTGCACAGGATGAAACAAGTCAAGTTATGGAAAATATAGGGAGGGCATAGACTTGTGTTTAGTGTAATGTTCTGAATCATTGTTCTTTTTTTCTTTTTCTTTTTTGATCTCCTAGATTTTCCCAATATATATTTTATATTTCAGGAGAGATACTCAGGAGAGATACAACATGTTATTAGAAAAAGCCGTTATTCTCTAAACCTACATTTTATTAGATTAGATCCTTAACACAAAAGCCAGCTCAAAGGTATAATTATAATCTCATCACAGCCAGATTGCAAATCAGGAAGCATGGAAGTTAGTGGTAATTATTTTCCCTGTTGACACCATTTCATTCTTTCTGACCTTACATCACATATTGTTATTTTTAATCACAGGTGTTTTTTGTTCATTTTCTTTTTATCCAAAACAGTCTCCAAGATTATCCATATATTCTTAATAAGTTAATGCAATGATTCGCAAAGGATTTAAGAAAATGGTGGAATGAATACTGTTCCACATGAATAACACGCTTGAACATTTTTCATGAAATGTTGATGGCAGAGTATCTTGGATGTCTCTCATTTATAGTTTGCCATAAGTCAAAGCAGACTTAATGCCAAAGTATAACAACAACAACAACAACAACAAGGATTTGTTTTCTTTCTGTTGGTAGCTGAAGAGTGCAAATTTTAGAAAGAGTCCTTGAGAGGATGACACGCTGTGTTACTTCCAGTGCTTTATATAAAGTAGTTTTTAATGTTTTTAAAGCCATGCTGAACACAGATACACACTGAGGGAGAGTAACAGCTATGACATTACCACTTTTTCAGCTGAATGCTCTCCTGGATGTTAAATGTGAATGCCCATGCCTCAAAACAAGTTTAAAAAGCTAAGCTGCCCATTATGCACTTACAGTTACCCTTTCAGTAGCAAGGTTGCAAGGCCTAGAGATTTTAAGAAAAGCAACTTACTTACATGTCTAGATGTTTTAGGTAAATAACATTTATATCTTTCCTTGTTAGCTTTCCCATTCCATGCTTGCCCACTACCAATCCTCTTTGGGGAACATCGTATAGTTTAAATATCTTCCATTGTATCAAAATGAGCAAGCCATGGCTGCATTTCATGCATTTTTAAAAGGCAGCTGTGGAAACACATTTATATCTTAATTAACACAAATTAATTAAGAGTCAATTAATCAGTGATCACACAATACAAAGGAAAAGGATGTGTTGACTCAGTTTGATGACACTGATTTGTCAGGAAATATGTAGTAAATAGGCCTGGGTAACAACAGAAAAATTTGTTTCTAAAATCGATTCGTTTTTTGGGGTTTTTTTGCGTTTCGATATTTAAAAGAATTCCGAAATTTTTTTTTAAAAAAAGTTCGATATTCACGAAATTTCGTAAATAGTAAAAAAAATTACAAAACAATAACGAAACAATAACGAATCGATTCGTTAATGGCGGACGCGACCACGCAATACGCTAAAAAACCTCCAAATGGGACAGGGGGAACTTCTGAAGCTTCCCTCTCCCTCTGTTGTTGACTGTTGGTGTGATATTATAATTTTTTTTCACTAATTAAACAAAAAACAACTATAAAACTTGCCCCAGACATGCGGAAATAATAACGAAATGACCTCAAACCAATAACGAAACGAATACATAACGAAACACGAAGCATTTACGAAACGAATTGGAAAAATTTGTTTCGTTTTTAAGCTGCTCCAGAATGGTTCGTTATCGCTTCGTTAACAAAAAAAATAACGAATTTTTAACGAATTACGAATTAACGAAACGAAACCGCCCAGCCCTAGTAGTAAACAATAGTCAAATTGGTGTTTGTTATTTTGTTTTAACGTTGTGAGGCATGTTTCCACTACTATCACATATTGTAGAAGTGAAAAATGCACTTGATATTTATTTCTGCAGATACTGGATGGAGTGAAGCAGAGGAAGTAAAGAGATACGGCACCAGTTGGTGCATACAGTATTTTGCTATTTTTATGTATTTTTAATTGAGTGAATAATTAAATGGTCATTACCTTTTGTTTTAAGGTTGTAGTTATATGTCAGATCACCTACATACAAACATTTGAAATAAAGAAAACAACTAATCCTGATCTTCTCTTCTTTTGGCTTGTCCAGGTGGTTGAAGTTTATGGCCTCCTGGCCTTAGGGATGTCTTTGTGGAACCAGCTGGTAGTCCCTGTCCTCTTCATGGTCTTTTGGCTTGTGTTATTTGCTCTTCAAATCTACTCTTACTTCAGCACACGAGATCAGCCTGCATCTAGGGAGAGGCTGCTCTTTCTATTTCTGACAAGGTAAGTTACTAAAATATATATCTGGCTGTTGTTGGTCAGTTGCTATATGCTGGGGGGAGGTGGGTTCTGCTTCCTACAAATGAGGAAAAAGAGCAACTACAGGCAGAGCCCTTTGGGTATACTTGGGATGGGACTTATTTCATGCGTAGTGGAATACAATAAAACCTCCATATCCAAGTCCCAAAAACCTCCATGGACACTTGAATCCATGGATAATACCAAACCCTATGTTTTGACTGTACTTGGGCTAGAAGCATACCATAAGGGACCAAGAAACCCCCAAAATACTTTCAGGGAGGGGTATTTTTGGAGCATGGATAAATGAAACTGTGGACTTTGGATCCATGGATAAGAGGGGCATAGGCCTTTAATTTGTGTAACAGTCTTTTTCTACCCAACGTTTTTGAGATATACATATTGTGTAAATTCAGAAAGTATTTGGGAGATGTACTAATTAAACATACCAGAACTGGATGACTAACAAATTCCTTCAAGCTAGAATAATCAATATATCCAAGTTCAAATGCTTGCTTTACTATTGTTTGTTTCCCCCACCACCCCCAGCATTGTGGTTCCTTGGAGTGTATTTAGGTTTTGTATGTTCTAAAACCTCTGTAAAATGTGTTGTTTCCCAAGCAGTTAGACTGGTTTTCTTTGCATGCTTAGAGAATGAAAAAAAAGGAGTTTTTAGAAGCACTGTCCCCAAAGCTCTCAGTGCGGTCAAGCAGAGTTCGATTGCACAACATAGTTATAAAATATTGAAGGAGAAATGGGGCTTGGACTGATTGATGTGGCTGAGTTTCCTCCAGAGGATGGACTTTGTTACCAGAGTTTTTGTCTGTGTTGCTGGTGAAAGCATATGAGTTCATTTTCACCCACAGTAAAGCAGAGGAAGGATTGTGTGAACCAAAAATACAGACCAAGGAATGGGAATTGAGTGCTCCATGCTGAAGTAAGGAAGGAAGTAAACACAGGAATCGGAATGTACAGCTTTAACCTCTTTTTTAACAGCTCCCCATTCAGTCATGCTGGCCACATGACCTTGGAGGCGTTCTGTGGACAATGCCGGCTCTTCGGCTTAAAAATGGAGATCAACACCACCACCCCAGAATTGGACACATCTAGACTTAATGTGAAGGGGAAATCTTTACCTTTTAACCTCTTTTTAAAACTGTTGTCCCTGACTATTAACTGTTGTTGTTGTGTTCCTTCAAGTCACTTCTAATTTATGGTAACTCTTTGTCAAGATTTGTTCAGAGGTTGTTCATTTTACTTTCCTCAGTCTGAGAGTGTGACTTGCTGAAGGTCAAGCAGTGAGTTTCCATAGCTGAATGGGGATTTTAACCCTGGTCTCCAGTATCCTAGTTCAACATCCAAACCATGCTACCTGTCCCTATTTGAGAAGTTAAATAGTAGATCTATCTACTTTTCCTCGCTACATTTAATTGAAATGTCAGCAAAGTAGATGAAGGATATTTTTCCTCTTCCATACATAAATAATAAAAGGAAAAGGTAAAGGTTTTCCCTGGCATTAAGTTCAGTCGTGTCCGACTCTGAGGGGTGATGCTCATCTTCATTTCTAAGCCGAAGAGCCAGTGTTGCTCGTAGACACTTCCAAGGTCATGTGACGAGCATGACTGCATGGAGCACTGTTAGCTTCCCACAGAAACGGTATCTATTGATCTACTCACATTTGCATGGTTTTGAACTGCTAGGTTGGCAGAAGCTGGAACTAACAGTGGGAGCTCACCTCGCTCCCGGGACTCAAACCGCCAACCTTTCGGTCAGCAAGATCAGCAGCTCAGTGGTTTAACTTGCTGCACAACCAGGGGGCCCTATACATGAAAATATATTTCCATAAAATACAGGCAGAACAAAAATCCAAGATGGTGCTGTTTTGTAATGAATATTTTCAACTTTCTACAGTATCTCCATCGGATAAGCTGTTGTGTGTGTGTGTGTGTGTGTGTGTGTGTGTGTGTGTGTACAGACATACTTAAGACTTGTCCTAGGTCAACATTTTTCAGGATTGGTCTACTTTGCCAGATATCCCAGGGCTCAAATGTGTTAATTCCCTCTGTGCGCATGGCATGCTTGTTCAAAATTTTAATAATACTTGTATTTTCTTGATCCCAGTATTGCAGAGTGCTGCAGCACGCCCTATTCTCTTCTGGGGTTGGTGTTTACAGTGTCCTTTGTGGCACTTGGAGTTCTAACCCTCTGCAAGTTTTACCTGCAAGGCTACCGAGCGTTCATGAATGACCCAGCTATGAACAGGTAAGCTGCACAATCAGGAATGCCTAACCCTTTCTTAAGCCATACCGGTTAAGCTGAAACAGGTTTTAGGCCTTACATGGATTTAAAGAAAAAACCACATGATATAACCTTTTATAACGCCTTCACGTCCTATTGTTTTAGGATTTAATGCTGAAGGAAGCATTCTTTAAAAACTTATTTTTTTGTTAAGAGGCACACTACAGCCCATTACTTGAATTTTATTGCAAAGTTCTAATCCAGTTCCCCAAACATTTTGTGAGTTCTTTATTCTTTCCTTCTATCTCAGGATTCCATGCTTTGTTTGATTATTTATATTTGACAATCAATTTTCACTAGTTTTTGGTATGACTTTGATAGTAATTTTTCTGCCCCGGTTCCTTTAGCTTGTCTGATTAGTTTTCCAGACCCTTTTGCATTTGTAATTCTTTGATAGAGCAACCCTCACTACTACTTCTACTATTACTACTGTTGAGTAGGACTGAAATATCAGCCCCAGTGTATCCTCTCAGGTGACACACAACACTTGGATAAATCATGAAATTGGGTAGGAAGGCAAACTTTGGCTACAGGACTCACCAAGCCCCAGCATTTGCTTTGAGTCTGTCCTACTCACAGCACTGGCCAAGATAGATAAAGAACATCAGAGTCATGCAGACAAAAACAAAGTGCACATGAGCAATATTTAATGCATGTGTGGTAATTCTTGTCTAAGGTCGGTGTGACCAGCACAGTATGGAGTCAGTGATTGCTTGTTGTTTACAAAAATGGTCTTGGTCTGGCACTGTTTATAACCATAACTTCTGGTTGTTGCCCCAGGGAACACAATATTGCAATTATAACATCTCAAGCATAACACAAATGATAAAGCTCAGCAAAACAATACCAACCGCATCTCCTTGTATGAATCTGCCCGGGCCCTGAGATCTTCAGGAGAGACTCTTCTCTCAGTTCCACCTCCATCTCAAGCTTGGTTGGGCCTTCTCTGTGGCTGCCCCTCAACTCCTGAACCCCTTAATGGCCCCCTCCTGCTGTCCTTCTGGCATGGGGCTAAAATCTTTTTATTCAGGCAGACTTTTAAAGATGAAGGTGTTTAAGGGGATGCTGTGGTTTTTAACTTGGAAAATGTTTTTGAATGGTTTTTAACTGGGAATGTTTTAATACTGGTTATATTTAATCCTGTTTTAATGTTTGTATATTTTTAATCGTTAATGCTGATGCTTTTATGTTAAGCCTCCTTGAGTCCCCTTTGGGGAAGATAAAGTGGGGTATAAATATAATAATAATAATAATAATAATAATAATAATAATAATAATAATATGTCAGCTGTTGTCAAAATGGAGTTTGTCAGGCTCACTAAAACAGATAGGTAGAGGTTTCTCCTGACATCAGTTCTGTCACATCCAACTCTGGGTGGTGGTGCTCATCTCCATTTCTAAGCTGAAGAGCCACCGTTGTAGCTGAAGTAGATGAAGGATATTTTTCCTCTTCCATACATAAATAATAAAAGGAAAAGGTAAAGGTTTTCCCTGGCATTAAGTTCAGTCGTGTCCGACTCTGAGGGGTGATACTCATCTTCATTTCTAAGCCGAAGAGCCAGTGTTGCTCGTAGACACCTCCAAGGTCATGTAGCCGGCATGACTGCATGAAGTGTCGTTACCTTCCCGCCGGAGCGGTACCTATTGATCGACTCACATTTGCATGTTTTTGAACTGCTAGGTTGGCAGAAGCTGTGGCTAACAGCGGGAGCTCATGCCGCTCCCCGGATTAGAACCTGCAACCTTTCGGTCAGCAAGTTCAGCATCTCAGTGGTTTAACCTGCTGTAGCACCAGGGGGCATGAAACAGATTAGCATACAATTAATCTTTAATTCTTATTTCATGCAAACACTACGACTAGTCCTACTACTACAGTTATGGTACTTTTTCTTCTAAAGGGAAAACCCTCTTCAAAGCTGCTTTCTTGAAACCTTTATTTAACCTCTCCTCTTGGCCCGAACAATGCTTTGTCTTTATTATGTTTGGGTGAATATGCAACTGTATTTGCTTGACATCTTGTATAAACCCAGATAATCTTCGTTGCTTCATATTTCAGGTTTCTTAACATTCTTTAATTCAAGAATACCTGTCATATAATGGTAATAAGTAGTCATTTTCTTCCTACCAACAGTTCCTTTCTCTTTTTTTTTCGTTCAGTGTGCTAATTGGAGTTATTCTGTTTTAGTTTAGAAGGCTGTTTAAGCTGCAGAGAAAGTTGTATAGCAATACAACAAGAATTTATGTGCAAGGAGTTTCTAGAATGCTAAAATCTTGTTTTAATGCATAAACACAAAAAAATAGTGCTTTAAAACTGAACCAAGAATGGAAGACTTCAGAAGTGATCCAGCATCATTTCAGGTGAAGATAATGTGTAGAGAAACTCTCCCCAGTCACGACATTATATATTATGCAACATGTACAGTTGCAAGTGTTTTCAAAGCCAGTAACATAGGACCACTGTGATTTCCTTTTTCATGGGGAAATAAATAACATTGAAGTGTAGTGGCTTGCCCTGGTCAACCCATAAGTATTTGTTAAAATATTTAAAATCAATTATCACTCCTCGAATAGGGTTTTGTAACTATAATTTAGCAAAGAGTGTGAGGCTTGAGGAAGGCCACTGGATGGAACATTGTGCAAAATACAAAGCATTCGCTCACATAAATGAGGAAAAATGTTGTATATTGATTAAAACAATTGTAAAACTTGATTAAGTTGGTTTGTACTTAACATTTTGTTCTCTTCTTTTAAATATATTTTTATATGTAAAGAGGGATGACAGAAGGAATCACGCTTCTAATCCTGGCGGTGCAAACTGGATTGATTGAGCTCCAAGTTGTCCATCGGGCCTTCTTGCTCAGTATTATCCTCTTCATTGTGGTTGCATCCATCCTTCAGTCCATGCTTGAGATTGCAGATCCCATTGTCCTAGCACTGGGAGCTTCAAGAGACAAGTAAGCCATGTGCATTTTAAAATTTGATGACAGCTTTTCACATTCTTGATACTCGGGCAGTAATCCAGGTCACTGTAGGTTCTAGTAAAAGATTATAGCCATAGAGGGCAATAAATCAAGAGCGTTGCTGGGAGTCAGGGAGACCATGATCTTAAATGTAAGACTTGAAAACTAACATTGTCTTCCAGAATAGGAAATAGTATTACTTTTTTATTTAGTGTGGTGAAGTCTCCTTTTCTGGAGGTTTTTTAACAGTTTGGGTGGGCATATGTTGGGAGTGCTTTGATTAAGTATTCCTAATATAGCAGTAAGGGAGCCTCTGGTGACGCAGTGGGTTAAACCGCTGAGCTGCTGAGCTTGTTAACCGAAAGGTCGCAGGTTCGAATCTGGGGAGCAGTGTTAGCTTCCACTATCAGCTTCTGCCAACCCAGCAGTTCGAAAACATGCAAATGTGAGTAGATTAATAGGTACCGCTCCGGTGGGAAGGTAACAGTGCTCCATGCAGTCATGCTGGCCACATGACCGTGGAGGTGTCTACAAACAACGCCAGCTCTTTGGCTTAGAAATGGAGATGAGCACCACACCCCAGAGTTGGACATGACTGGACTTAATGTCAGGGGTAAACCTTTACCTTTTACCTTTAATATAGCAGAATGGGGTTGGCCTGGATGGCCCTTGGGGTGTTTTCCAACTCTATAATTCTATGATTTAATGAGGACTTGATATACCACTTTGAAGGATTTTTAGTACCTCAACATGTGGATTCTGTATCTTGCCAGTTGTCTGCTCCGTTTGTTTTGCTCTTTTCCTCTGTAGCCTGAGAACATAGTTAAATAAGAATTAGTTTATTTTTAACTACTGTTTGTTTTGCTTAGAGATTACTTGTGGCCAGCACAGGTTGTTTGCACCATGTTCATGTTATATTTATTAGCAAAGGGAAAAGAGGAGAGCAGAGCCACAGGATGTTAGCTGGGCAGCTTGTACAAATTGAGCCTGATGACTTCAGGCTGCTCTTCATCTCTCCCGGGTTCAAATTAAACTCTGAACCAAAGTTCTGGAAAAGATCTTAGATGGTACTTGACTGCACTTTTGAAATTTCAAGATCCAGATGTTGTTGCATGAATTATTGATATCTGGTTATACAAGTCTGCTGGTGAGATGCAATTTAGTGTGACGTAGCCGGTGTTTACTGTGACGTAGTGTATGCTTCCACCACCATCCCCATGAGGTGCAGATGAGTTTGGGCTGCATTCATATTCAGTACTAAGGAAAAATAACCTTGCCATGGGATGAGATACATAAAACAGTTAGGTTACTTCAGCTGAATGAGATAATGCACAGGAACCACATGATAACTACTATTGCATAATAATGATGATGCTGCGAAGATTATTTGTGTTTAGTTCACAGAAACATATTTGAATTCATTCCCCTTTAGTATAGCTATACACTTGAACATGTGATTCTAGTAACTGAATAAAAATGAGGTATAAATGCAACTAGAGAATTTCACAATTACACAAATACAGTCTGGACCCATCTGCAGTGTCTACTGTGTAAACTTCTCCTTCTCCTGCTGCTGCTCCTCCTCCTTCTTATTGGATCAGATTTCTTCCCTAAGAACAATCTTTTGCTTGTAGAGCTATAATTAAAAAATAATAATTTCAAAGTCTAGAGATGACTAATGATATAAAGAGCAAAAAGACTCCTTCTAAGAATACTCTATGCTCTTCAGGGGGCAAAAAGACACTTCTCCCTTGTATGTTTAAATCAGAAACGAACCTTCTGAATAGGCCTGATAATATAGAGACTATATGCATTCTGAATCATAGATTTGGAAGAGACCACAAAGACCATCCAGTGCAATCACATTTTGCCATGCAGGAAAAGCACAATCAAGGCACGCTGACAGATAATGAACATAATTCATTAATAGCCCTAAAGTGACCCTGTAATCTTGGTGAGATCATGATATATCATTAAGCAACTCGCATAAACAACAATCCTTAAGCTATTCTGTGATAATGCTGTTGGAGTTAATTGTACTGCTCTGGGATTTAAACTGAGAAGTGTAGAATATTCATGATCTCAAGTTCACCACCTTCTAAAGATCACATGCAGTTAAAGGCTTTTGACGGGCGTGAGCCACTTCAGAAGGATAGGGGGCACATCAGCCCCTGAATGAAGTCATGGAGAGTTACACCCCTACCAAACCTGTTCCTTATAAAGCCACCATCCCCACCCCACTGCCAGCCCGTTAGGCACTTTCACTATGTTTTTGGGCCTTCCTGGCTTATGTTGGGCCAAATAAGCCATGAAGAGGACAGAAAGGGAGCAAAAGTCACTTCTCGATCATTTTGTTTTTTAACAAAAGGTCCTTTGGAGCCACAATTGTTCCACATTGCACCCCACACATGGTGAAAATGCCCTCCACATTTTTTAACAAGACTTTGGGGGGGGGGGGATAATTTTGCAAAATTAATGTTCTACCTCTAGATGTGATAAGAGACCTCCATACATAATGGAAATGTCCTCCACACACACCCATAGGGATTGAGGAGGCATTTTGAGTCATTTAGAGCCCAAAAAAAGTGTCCAAAGTGCCCAGAAAAATCCTGTGGGAATGTTTAGGAGGGATTATATTTCCATGAGAGTCTTGTCTATGTATGTGACTTCTAATTTTTTGTCAGGAAGTATAAAATCTGCTTTAGTTTCTGGTTTTAATGACACTGATTTTTACAGGAGCCTCTGGAAACATTTCCGTGCTGTGAGCTTGTGCTTGTTCCTACTGGTTTTCCCAGCATACATGGCCTACATGATATGTCAGTTTTTCCACATGGATTTCTGGTTGCTGATCATTATTTCCAGCAGTATTCTCACTTCTCTCCAGGTAAGCCATAATAGCCTCTTGCATGTGTTTAATGTTCACAAATGTGTTGTGAAACAAGTTTGGGAAACACAAGAATATATGAGATGGGAAGTGTGGGTATAAAACTGAGTAACTAGTTATTTAAAAGATATAATAAAGTACGTAAATGAGCATTTGCTTTCTCTCTCTCTTTTCATCTTTCCTACATCTTGAAATAGATTAGTAACATCTTGAAGGAGATTAGTAACGTGTTTAATATAGTTTTAGTCTGTTTAAATTATTGTTGCTGTTTTCAACTGTTTGAAGTTTAAAATTTTATGTGCCACCCTGAGATTACATATAGAGTGAGATATAACTACTAAGACAAACAGAAAGATATAGATAACTAAACACAGTCCATTTGTTTATCCAGTGAAGATTATCAGATTTTAATAGGTTCCATGATAAATTGTGAAAATGATAACAAAGAAGCTTCATGTATGTCTGTCCAAACATTGAGCACAATCCAAAGTCCCAATAATTCCATTGGCAAGCTTACTCATGCGGTCAGACCTGTACTATAGAAAACAATGGTCCTAAAATATTGTTCAATTCAACTGGACTTTGTCTACTGAGATTAAATGTATAGATCTCACCTGAATGTGTTGTAGTACATTACTGTTAAAACTGTTGGCTGTAATATAAAGCCTTCAGTACCAGTCAGGTGTTTGTGTGTGTATTTAAATACAGCCCTAATGCTGAGCCTTATTAAATAAGAGTTTACATAAAAACTTCTTTATCGTGTAAATCAGGGGTCCTCAAACTTTTTAAACAGAGGGCCAGGTCACAGTCCCTCAAACTGTTGGAGGGCCGTATTATAATTTGAAAAAAGCATGAATGAATTCCTATGCACGCTGCACATATCTTATTTGTAGTGCAAAAAACACTTAAAAACAATACAATAATTAAAATGAAGAACAATTTTAACAAATATAAACTTATTAGTATTTCAATGGGAAGTGTGGGCCTGCTTTTGGCTGATGAGATAGGATTATTGTTGTTGTTGTGTGCTTCCAAGTCATTTCAAGCCAACTGCGCCCGTACCTTGGGAAGTCTGACTTGACCACGGTAGTCCACACTCTGGTTACATCCCGTTTGGACTACTGCAACGCTCTCTACATGGGGTTGCCTTTGAAGACGGCTCGGAAGCTCCAACTAGTCTAACGTTCGGCAGCCATGATACTAACAGGAGCGGAGCGCAGGGAGCATACAACTCCTCTGCTGCGCCAGCTCCACTGGCTGCCGATCTGCTACCAGGCTCAATTCAAAGTGCTGGCATTGGCCTTTAAAGCCCTAAACGGTTCTGGCCCAAGCTACCTATCCGAACGTATCTCTGCCTATCAGCCCGCCAGGACCCTAAAATCTTCTGGGGAGGCCCTGCTCTCTATCCCGCCTGCTTCACAGGTGCGGCTGGCGGGGACGAGAGACAGGGCCTTTTCTGTGGTGGCCCCTCGGCTGTGGAACGCCCTTCCCATGGAGGTAAGATCAGCCCCTCGCTGATGGTGTTCCGAAGAAGATTAAAAACCTGGATGTTCGAACAGGCATTTGGTTAATCGGTGCAACGAATGTGATGATTACAGGATTGGTAATATGGACGACGAAACTAGATCACGATTTTAGTCATGAGATGCATTGGGTTGTTATTGTTGTGTCAATATTGTGTATTATGCTTTTATGGTTTTAAATTGTATATTGCTGACTGTTGTACCTTTGTTGTAAACCGCGTTGAGTCGCCTGTTAGGCTGAGAAACTGCGGTATACAAGTAAAGTAAATAAATAATAATAAATAAATAAATTTCAGACTTAGGTTGACCCTGAGCGAGGGCTGGGTAAATGACCTTGGAGGGCCGTATCCGGCCCCCCAGGCCTTAGTTTGAGGACCCCTGGTGTAAATGATACAGTGCTTCATTAGAACAGGAATAAACATGACTACAGTGATCATGCTTCCAATGTATAAATGATTGATGGCTCTCATGTTTGGGAGTGTCCTGAATATATGTGCTGTACTGCCTCCGATAGATCAGGAATGTATGAAACTCATCCAAATACAATCTTACAAAGTTCTAGCCTTGTGACCTCCAGTGATAAACCTCTTTCTGCTCCCAGGTACTTGGAACACTCTTCATTTACGTCTTGTTTATGGTTGAGGAATTCAGAAAAGAGCCAGTAGAAAACATGGATGATGTCATTTACTACGTCAATGGCACCTATCGACTGCTAGAGTTCCTTGTTGCTCTCTGTGTTGTGGCTTATGGTGTATCAGAAACCATCTTTGGAGAGTGGACGGTGATGGGCTCCATGATCATCTTCATTCACTCCTACTACAATGTGTGGCTCCGTGCGCAGCTGGGGTGGAAAAGCTTTCTCCTCCGCAGAGATGCTGTGAATAAAATCAAATCACTGCCCACTGCTACCAAAGACCAGTTGGAACAACACAATGATATCTGTGCCATCTGCTACCAGGTATGCAGCTTGTCTAGACAGATCTTGTATGGATAGTACTCTGCCTCCCTCTTCTGGTCATATATAGGAAGGACTGGCATGGATGTCTTAAGCTGGGCTATAAATAAAGTGAGAGGAAGAAGTTACTGTATTCACCTACTTACAGGGCTGGCACCCCGTAATTGGCCTTTGAGCACAATATATAATGTAGCGCAATGGCCTGATCTGCAGGATTTTGTCTTTTGTGGTTAGGTGTGGAGTGGAAAGTGGTAGGTTTGCAAGACTCCCAAGTAGAATCCCCACATCATGTAACAGGTGAATTGCCTGAATGCCTATCCCCTTCCCATGCATATTACAGGACCAGCTTGTAATCTGTCATTTCCATTAAAAGGGCTGCAACTTCCATTATCAAGGGTTGCAACTCCTGTTAGCTTTAGCCAGCAGCAAGGGACAGTGAGGATTGCAAGTCACCAACAATCAGGGTGCAGTTGGTGGTGGTTGTGTGCCTTCAAGTCACTTCCTAAGGTGAACATATCCCAGGGGTTTCTTGGCAAGGTTGGTTCAGAGTAGGTTTGTCTTTGCCTTCCTCTCAGACTGAGAGAATGTGACTTGCCTACAGTCACATGGTGTTTTTTTTTATGGCCATTTGGACAAAAGTATCCACTGTCACTGGCAACCTATAAGGTAGGAAGGACACCTTGAGCACACAAATGGTATATTCATCTTATTGTTGAAGGCTTTCATGGCTGGAATCACTGGGTTGTAGGTTTTTCGGGCTAGATGGCCATGTTCTAGAAGCATTCTCTCCTGACATTTCACCTGGATCTATGGAAAGCATCCTCAGAGCTTGTGAGGTCCTCAACCTCTGAGGATGCTTGCCATAGATGCAGGTGAAACGTCAGAAGAGAATGCTTCTAGAACATGGCCATATAGCCCAAAAAACCTACAACTACCCGGTATATTCATCTCTTGAAGGATTCTTTCCTCAAGCAGTAGAAATTCAGTAAAATCACTACTGCATGCAGTGAACTTACATCAACTATGAGACATGAGTTGGAAAGATCTGCAAACTGTTCACAATAGGCTCTTGAATGGTTCATACTTTCTTCTTTTAGGATAGAACATAATAGGCCTTTGACCACTTGGAAGGGCTCAGTTGCAAAAATTTCAATACATCTTTAGAACTAATCACCAGAAATTAAGTGGCTAATTATTATATTTCACTTTTCAAAGGCAAAAGGAATAATGGAGCAAAAGTAAGCCTAAAGTACCACTTCAGCATTGCGTTCTAAAGGCCTCTTATGCTTTGTCTCCCAAGAATGTTCTGAACACCAGTGATGTTCTAGTGTCACTAAAGTGGTACATTCAAGAGTCCTCAAAAGAAACTTTTTGTACTTTACAATTCAATCTCATGCTATTGAATCCATGCCACAGTTTGCCAGTAAAAGGTTCCTATTATATGTATAGATTCAAATGAGATGGTGCTTCCAGTGCAAAATAAAATAAAATAGAAGCCCTTGTTTAATGTAATTGAATAATATAATGAAGACCGGCTGTTGGTCAGATAGGTCAAATCAGAGATAAACAACCTGACACCCTTCATGTGGTTTGGAGTAGACCTCCCATAAACCTAACCATACTGCTTGAGCTGTCTGTGAGTAACTGTTTAAAACATCTGGAAGACAGCAAGTTGCCTAGCCCTGGTAGAGATGGGGTAATGACTTGCTATAAGACAGATCCTTCTATTTCTATTGGTGGCATAATTCAAAATTATAACAAGCCAGCTATTACTTCATCTTTTTTCTTTTCTTTTTGGTTTGTACTGAAACCCAATTGTGTTATAAGCTCAATTTTGTACCCCTGCTCTGCTCATATATCTTTTAGAATTCATATTATTTACTTAATACTTGGCTCATGTAACGCTTTCCCATATTTTCAGGTTTTAATGATATGTATTTTTAATAGTGATGTATTTCTAAATGACGACAAATGAAGCTGGGCAGTGGGTCATCCTGGTTCACTTTTAGCAGCCAGCCTAGACTATGTTGAGTATTGGGGCAGCCTTGGGAGACTGGATGCCTGTGCATGGGCATAGTGTGACTCCTCCTATTGTTTTTTCTTTTCTTTTCAGGACATGAAGTCTGCTATCATCACTCCTTGTGGCCATTTCTTTCATGCGGGCTGCCTTAAGAAATGGCTGTATGTGCAAGAAACCTGTCCCCTATGCCACTGCCAACTTAAAAACCCTACTCAGCTCATGGGCCAAGGACCAGAGCAGCCCTTGCCACAACCAAATCCTGGAGCGGAGCAAAATACTGTTCAGCAAGAAGCTACAGGGCCCCCTGGTGTTGAGCGCCAGGAGGGGCCAAGTGGTGGACCTATTGACCAGGGACAAGCTGTCAAAGAGCTGGGTCTCCTACAAGACTCTGCTGATGCCAAGGATGCCTCGGTCAGTCTGAGCAACGCATCTTCTAGTGAAGCCAGCCAGAAGGAGATGACCGCAGAAGGAGTGGCCAAAGAAGAGGCAGAGGTTTTAACGCGGGACACGGGGGGCTGTATCCAGAACTGAAGTAGCAGAGACTGGTGCAAGAATAAGCACTCCAGAGCCACTCCGTTCGGTGGACAGAATCCGACCCTTTTTATTGTAATAAGCAAGTTTAACTCTCAGAATGCTGGCCAAAATGTATTCATAAGATCCCATGCTGATTTCTGTGAGCTGCTTGGTTTACAGGGCTGCCAGTGCATTCCACTGGAAACTAACTTTTAGAATCTGTCGTCATGTTGCAAATGGGCAGAAGCTGGAAAGGAGAACTGAGTATTTTGGGAATTGAAAAGTAGGGAGGGCAGAAACATGAGGAAGTAGGGGGAGGAAAGAAGACAGGTGAAACGAAAGTCAGTGTTTCTGATGAAGGGAGAATAAAACGAAGGACAAACCAGGGATTTGTATCCCTGGCCTTGTTTTTCAGCAATGGATGGAGTCAAGTACGTTGGCAAAACTCTTGTAGAGGCCAGAAGTTTTGAAAATGGAAATGTATCAAGGATTGTGTTGGAACAGGGCAGCACTCAGTATGTCAGATGTAGTGCTTTGGGCATGTTGGGTAGGGCATTTGCATTCATGTAATCTATAGCAATTCTTGACTTTTTCTGATGGAGTCTTCAACACTTTAATGTTTAGGAATCTTTTTGTTACTCAATATTCTGGACAGTGTAGGCTGTGTGAAGTCAACTAAAGCTCCAGTGAACTCAGTCTATGCTTCACTATTGAGTGCAGATGAGACGTGGGAGGAGTTTTAGATCATGACTGAAGCCACTTGGTGCTGTTCAGATCTGTGTAGTGTTTAATTTCTTGCAGCTGAATTAAAGCAGTATTAATCTCTTGGCAATATTTGCACCTTTGGGAATGAGTACATAAATTGTATGATCAAATGCCGCAAATGCCACTTCAGAGGCTGTTACTAGGATTTGCACCTTTTTCTCCTATGACAACAATGTGTGTGTATTCAAATTTTTACATTTATCATGGCTTTCAGGTAGAAATAGGGGCTGGGGGTGGGATGGGAGCTGGCAATTTTTTAATGTGAATTTTGATATGAAAAGGAACTAGTCGTTTATTTATACACTAGGCTTGGCGCTTAAAAGTGTTTTTCCTCCCTCCCCTTTAAGAATTGTTGTTCCGACTGTGTAATGTGGATATTATTTTATTTTTTAGTAGTGGGTATGGATGTAGATTGACAGACATAGCTGAATGTCTCAATAAACTCCATTTGAAGATTTTGTACATTTGATTATCTTGTTCTTTTGTAGCAAACGCTGTCTTAACAAAATGCACTTGTAAATGGAGGCACTTAGTAAAGTCACTTTAATGGCGCTCAGACAGGCCAGTTTTCAGTATAATGTTATTCTAATTTGGCTTGTCTGAGGAAGTAAAACTCTCAAACATTAGAGGTCTCTCAGGTACCCCTTTTTATTGGATGCTAATATTTATTTTATTTATTTATTTACTTTATTTCTATACCGCTTTTCTCAGCCCTCAGGCGACTCAAAGCGGTGAATATCCTATCACGCAGCGAATACCAAGTTTACCTACTGGAGTTACTTCAGCAGCTACAGGATGAGACATCCCTACAGGTGTAAGTTTTTCATAATTTTGAAGTCATGAGTGAAAGGGACCTTTAAAAAAAAAGATATAGAGAAAAGCATATATTACCATCCTTAATGAATCTCGTATTCTAGGAACATAAAGTATATTCGATATATAATGTTATACAATTGCACAATTTTGTTGTCATAAAATTATGTTGCTATAGTAAAAGCTTGGTCCTGTCAACAATAGTTACAACCCCAGCTCTCTTGACAGGGCTCTTCACTTGTTTGTCTAAGGCAGGCATCCTCAAACTGCGGCCCTCCAGCTGTTTGGGACTTCAGCTTCCAATGATGAGTGCTTGAATGAGAGACCACGAATGTGCTCTAAGCTGTATTTCAGAGAAAAGAACTGGGAAAACCATCTCTTAAGTATTACTTTCTTAAGAAAACTCTGAAATTCATGGGTCACCATAAATCCATAGGTATCTTGAAAGCACACACAAAGCTGGAATTATTATTATGGATGACATCTGAGTGAGGATGTGAAAGATGTATGGTTAAGATAAATGTGTGGTTTTTCAGGGTGTGGGTTAGCTAGAGAGAAGTATGTGAGATTTTAAAGATAACAAATATTTCTCCTTGGAATCAAAGTATAATGGTAACATGAAATATGTAATGGTGGTATCCAGAGGGGATAAAAGTTGCATTATTCCTTATAGGAACCTTGTGGACATTTAAATGATCCCTAAAGTTGGTGTCACATGAGGCACAGGAAAAAAGTAGTAGTAATAGAGGTAGGGTTCAGAGAAGGCCAGTATTTGCAATAAACAACTGTGGAAGTCTATATTTGATGAATTAAGGAGTGGAAACCCCACATTTGAATACAGTGGTGGGATTACCTAGAGCAGCGGTTCCCTAACTTCTTTGGTCACGGAACCCTGCGGAATACATTTATTTTCCATGGAACACTGACTCTATCTCTGATTTAATATTCTGGATCATTTAATTTAAATAGATTTCCCAATTTCCTATATAACATCTAGTGTTAGAGTAAATTTTACACTTGATATTTTATGAATAATATCCCAAATGTCTTTCATCTCAGAAACTGTACAAGGGAGAATTTTTAAAAAGCAAATGTGGAATAAACGTGAAAAGTCGACTACATATGAATCAGTTCAGGTGGCAAATAAGATATTGAAATGTGAATCCAATAACTGTAACTAGCAATAGCTGTAGTGCAAAATAGCTATTAAGACTATCAATCAAATAGTTGGCCTTGTGGTTTTATTTTAAAATCTATTTAAATTTGATTTTCAAGATTCTTAGCAGAACCCCGATGATGCTTTTACAGAACCCTTGGAAAAACCATAATTTGGGAACTACTGGCCCAGTGGAAGGAAATCTCCACACTTAATGGCAGGGGAAGGATTTCTAAAGAAGAAACTCTCACGTTTGGTGGATAAGGCTTGGGGAAAAACCTACATTTGATAGCAGCTACGGGATTGCCAACTCATTTACACTGTCTCTTACGTTTGGATCAACAGAATGTTTACAATTCCAAGGGATCTTCAGCATACTTTGCCTCATGAGAACCACTGAGGTCATAATTTTTGAACTTCTGCTATGAATACCACTGGTGTGAAATTCCAGAGCTCTTTATAGGAGCAGATGAGGAATATAGTCCAAAAAGAAGACAGTGGTATTTTCAGGCCCTGTCTTGTGCTTAAAGGAAAAGAGATACAGATACAGAGTACATAACTTCCTTTGTAGATTGGAATAAAATGTTTTCTTTTTCAAGCCTTCTTCTTAGCTTTGCCTTCAAAGCTGAGAAAAGAAAACAGAGGTCCCCACTGGAATGCAGGAGGATTAAGTTCTTATTTATTTCCCCTGCTCTGAGCTTGTATTGTGCAGTTGGAAGGAAATGTCCTTGAAAAATGGGTTCCTCCATAAACGATTCCCGCTTCTGTTTGTTTTTAAGATGGAAATTATTTTCTCAGGGACTTTGCCTGGGAGGAAGTGAGCAAAATAAGAATTGCCTTTTATACAAAGAAGCAGCCTTTCTTTCTTTCCTTTTTCTCCCCAACATTGGTCACAAATTATAAGAGCATTTTATTGTATGTTAAACAAGCTGTCTTGTTAAACAGAAGACAAGTGGGCTGCTCTCACTAAGAGATGTTACAATCCAGCCTTTATTTGTGCAAATATTTCTAAAACTGTTTGACAACCCCGTGGGCAAATCCAGAAGTCTATATTCACCAAACAGCTCTTATTGGAAGGAGTTGTCATCACTGCCTCTAATAGCCAAGATGCGGCTCACTTATATAATCAAAGAGAACATACTGTGCTACCAAAAAAAAAAAACCTACTAAAAAAGGCAAACTACTTTATTCTTCATGGGTCCAGCTGGATAATCAAACAAATGGGACCTGCAGCACGGAGCCCAGAAAAAAATATTTCTGGAAACAGCTTCCAAATTTGTAGAGTTGCTCAAAAACACAGTATTCTCTGGCTCTAATAAATGTTCCAGAACATCCCACACTTTCAAACAAGCAGATTTCTGGGAAGAGTTCCTGCTTGTTAGAGCTTCCTTCAGGAAGCTTGCTTTTTTTTCATGTCAGAAAAAAGGGGGTCCTTCAGGAAGCTAAAAGCTGTGTGGAGTCCAAAGTGGGCACTTTCTCCATGGTTTTTCATTTGTTTCTATAAAATTAGCACTCAACATTATGTGACTGCTGTGTATGTTTAATCCTCATTGTGGAGCATATGACACTGGTATCTTTACTTTTGTTTTTAGGAACCAAACTTGCCAAGAAAACTCTGACAGGTTCACCTTAGGTCACCATAAATAAAAAATTACTTGAAAGCAGACAACAATCACAGCCCAACATACTAATACTGTTCTCTGTGTCACCATTTTGGCTCTTGTCCTGTTATCACTTACCAACTGAGCACATTGTTACTATGTTCTTATTTGTTTCTTTACTATGTTCTTATTTGTTTCTTTAGTCTATTTCTATGTTACTTACCTGTGTCCAGTCACCACAACTTTGGATATGCCAAAGTAGTGCATTAAGAAAGTCAAATAAATCAATAAAGTCAATAAAGCAAGATAATTATAAAAACACAAACAATAGATAACAATATTGTGAACCTCACTACCTCTGAGGATGCTTGACATAGATGCAGGCGAAATGTCAGGAGAGAATGCCACTAGACCATGGCCATACAGCCCGAAAAAACCTACAACAACCCAATAGATAACCATAAATCAACATTTTAATATGTGTATTTTGTTGGGCAAGTGGGCTTATAATCAAAACACCCTCCCCATAAATGTACAGCAGAGTAGTCCTCTTGCAGCGGTGTAACCCAGCATCAGCAGCCACAAAATGATTAACAGAACAACAACTCACAGACCTGTTCCTCACTTCCTTTAGAGGCTTTTTTTTTCTTGTAACAAAAATAATATAGTTTCAGCACTTACAAAATAAAGTTTCTTGTAACCCAAATAAAGTTCATTGCTCTTTGTCTCTTGCTTCTTTACTCTTGGCTTCTCTGTTCATACACTGGCATTTCTTGCTCACAGGTATGCTGCTTCAGTATTGCTCACACAGAGCCTTTACACAGGAGTTACACAGAGTCTAAACACAGAGACTCTAACACAGCTTTAACAAACAGCCTCCAACACAAAGGCTTCTCACACAGGGGCTGACAACCCTACAAGCACACCTTCTTATATTACCTCCCTACTGGTTTTGCTTAGTAATTGCAATTAACCATTTCAGTGCTTGAACAATATTTTTGTAATTAAAAATACATTTTTAATTTTCAATATTTCTGACATGTTTTTTAGAATTTTTGCAATGTTTGTGTGTTGACTGTGCTGTGACCTGCATCGATCCATAGGGAAAGGTGGGTAAGAAAATAATAATAATAATAATAATAATAATAATAATAATAATAATAATAAACAGTTATTTGCTGTTAAAAGCAAGACATCAAAATACAATTTTTATGCTGGTTTTAACAATCGGAGATAGCCTGGATATTTAACAACTGCTTAAAGCCAGAGCTTGAAAAAGTAAATTTTGGAGTTCCTGTGGTCTGAAAAAATTAGCCCCCTGCTCTCGTGAATGTACCAGTTTTTTTAAAAATGCTCTTCCTTAAGGAGGGCAACCATTTGGACATGTCATAAATAATAAATTAATAACAATAAACACCATTGTTTTTGGACTGTCCCACAAAAGTGGATGCCTCCTTGGAGAAGACATTCCAAAGGGTTTTGGTAGCCACAGAAGAGCCTCGCTTTTGAATTTACACTCAATATGTCCTCCAAGCATGTAGTTTTTGCACAGGTTTGGGGGAGACAGAGCGCTTAGTAACACCCATCAGTACAGGCTTTGCATCTGTAGAGCAGATGCCTGGTTGAGCAAGGTAATCAAATGCTGAAGGACAATAATATTTCTACCTGTACATTAAGATCTTCAGTGCAGGATCTTCTTTGGGAGATGCAGCTAGGCTGGTTTCAGAAGCAGACTCTATCTGAACTTGTCCACATGGCAAACTGTGTCACTGTGACATCTTTGGGAAGAACTTGGTGAGGTCTGGGCTAACCCCGCTAAAGTTGGCCATTGGTTTTTCCTGGAAAGTCTATATGGTGGCTTACTATACCGATTGAACCTTATTTGAAGTACA